CTGGGACTTCAGTACCAGCTGGCAAACCTTAGTCCTTTCACTTTCCATATTATTGCCAAGATGACTAAAATTCTTCCTGGGTTCAACATATGCCAACCACCTTGTAGACTACCCTGCAATCCTCATAACCACTCTCCCTGAATCCCCATCTCACAAATGAGGAAAGTGAATTTCAAAGTGATTGTGCATATTCCTTGCTCACACATCTAGCTATACGGCAGGGCCAGGATTTAGACACAGGCTCTCAGCCTGCAGTGACCAGTCTTTTTAGACTTAATTCTCTTTAGACTTCCCAGAGAGACAGTGCAGAGTTCTTTAGGATTAATATCCTACTGAGTAGAAATAAGATTAATTTACATTAAAAAAAATCTTTCCTTGTGGACACCACTCCAACCCCTGCTAAATGATTTTTTTTCACAGAAATATAATTCATTCCCACCATTGCTAGGGAGCCAAATAATTTAAGCCCCCTGGCTCCTCTTTTGAGTATAATATCTCTTAACTATCCCAGGTGGGAAGAACTAAATAGAGAGAGTAAAATAAAATAACAACTCAACCCCAAACCAAGAAATAAGGCAGCATGTGCCTGCAGGCTGAAATTCAAGGCGCGAGGCTCAATGAGCAGACACTGGTCCAAACAGTACAAGTTCAAGTTCAGGGAATCTTGGAGTCTATCCAGCGAGGAGAAAGCGTCCTGCATATGAGGGCTAGGTACAACATCCTCTGGACAGGCTCACCACCAGCCATAAAAAGAGGAATTATGAGGACGAGTGAACACTGCTCACATTCACAGTGCTGCAGTACATTGTCAATTAAAAGACGTGCTTCCGTAATTGTTATACAAGGGGAAATTTACAGTGTCAAATGGTCCTCAAATTCATACTTCTGTGTGAGTTTTTGTTTGGTGTTGTGTCTAATATTAGCATGGATGATTGCCTCTGACATCTCTTTGCCTCTGAAGATAGGAACCACTAACATAAAAATGGGGGGGGGGGGAGCAGATACACCAGAAGAGAACACCACTTATTTTAAGCTAAGCTAGATAGATAGATAGATAGATAGATAGATAGATAGATAGATAGATAGACAGACAGACAGACAGACAGACAGATAGATAGATAGATAGATAGACAGACATGGATGGATGGAAGGATGCATGGATGGATGGATGGACAAACAGATGGATAGACATATACCTACCTACCTGTGTGATAGATAGTAGACAAACTTTTCTTTTTTTTTTTTTTTTTTTTTTTTTTTTTGTGGGACTCTCGCTGGTGGCCGGGAAATGACAAACTTTTCTTTTGCAAGGAAAGGTTTTTGTCAGATGTCTATCAATGTTTTGTGTTGCCCTCTTCTTAAAGGGGTATATTTTGGAAGCAAATTTTATTTTTAAGTTTCATATTTTATACTGCATATTTTATACTGCATTTCATATTTTATACCCATCTCCAAAGAGACCAAAGGTGAGTTCAAAGATGTGTATTCAAAGTAGATGATTTTGGATATGTTTCGGTCTGAAGGCAGGGACTAGACAAGATGGTATCTTAAAGTCATAGTAAGTTGTTGTCCAAGTCAGAATACCCAATCTCTGTTCACACATATACATCTATTCACACAACAAATAGACTTCATAGCCACTGAAGTAATACCCAAATGGGATCAGTATTATCTGAGTGTCAGATAACCAAATAGTTCTCCAGACATAGAATATAAGAGTTCGAAAGACCTTGACCACTTTATTTTACAAATCAGCAAAAAAATGGCTCAGGGAGGTTAAGCAACTTATTCAAGGTCACACAGCAAGTTAAACTAATACTCATGTGTCATCCATTAGTTATGTCTAAACATTATATTCACCTGCAAAGAAATAATATTTGCTATTTCTAATGTCATTAAAAAGAACAGGTCACAAGGGTAAATTAAAATATTTACATATCATTAATATTACCAACTTAATTTCATAAATAAGAGCTCAGAAAGGTACTTGCAAAAGACCTGCAAAATGATGATGATGATGATGATGATGATGATGATGATGATACAATTTTGAGCAACGTCACACAATTTAGACTAAATCTTTCTATATTGGTTTAAAAGTCAGATGTATGACTTTATAATCACATACTAGATTTTAGAAGATAAATCAAAGGAGACATAAATAAATTAAGATAAATATTGTCCCTGGACAGAACTGGAGTAAACAATGGTTGCTGTCCTGGCTTCTAAATAGGAAGACACTGGTTTCTTCTTGCCTCAGTCTTTTGTGTTTAAAGGGAAAACTGCAAAGTTGCCTCCAAGGAGCCTGGAGCCTTGAACATAACAATTCATGATAGTTTTCTAACAAGGAGGCTTGAGAGAGAGAATGCCTTTGAGGACCAGATATAGGGTTAGGTGATAGAACAGTGGACAAGGACTAAATAACACAAAATCATTTCACACTCTCAAGAGGGGAGAGAAACCCAAGTCTCACAATTTAAATGTTGCCAAGGGGGACTCTGTTGGTGAGAATAAACTGAGGACAAGAGTAAAATAAAATAACCCACCCAAACCAAGAAATAAGGCAGAATGGCAGGAGGAAGTATGGGGATTAATATGTAAATTCAGAAGTTTCAGTGTCTGTGTTGTATTCAAAGACAGGAGGAGGACTAGGATCATCTGAAGAATGAGAATGGACAGAAACAAGAAGTTCTGAGGGTTAAAAAGTTCTGAGGATTAAAAACATGTCAAGTTTTGGAATTTGAGGAGGATCTATTAAAGGAAACCAGAAAAGGAAGAAACCAGAGAGAGTAACATCTTATCAACTGTGCAAAAACTGCTGGAGATTCAAATAGGATGATGATTCAAACTGACCTGGCTTGTTCACCAATGCTGGCTTACCAGAGCACCTTTCTTGGCAGTTACTGCCTATTAATAAGGGATCCTGGGAACCAAATATTAATTATAGTAATAATAACCATCCCTTATTATCTACCCTGTGACTGACTTTATATGCCAAGTACTTTAAATACACCAATCCAATTCAGTCCATCCAACAACTATGGACAATAGAAATCACAAACAAGAAAACTTTGGTGCAGAAAGATTATGTGACATATTTGGTGTCACCCAACTAACAGTCTGAAACTGGTATTTTAGATCCAAAATATAATGCAGGGTGGCCCAAAGACTTAGCAGGACAGATGCCTAACTTCTGGGCAAAGGAGATAGGAAGCAGTAAGTTTGCCCTCTTCTCGTAAGGCACAAGCAGCCTGACCATTCATTCAGTTAGGGAGACCAACTATTCCCATCACCCAGGGAAGGAAATGTTTCCTGGGATGTGGGGTTTTCAGTGTCAAAGTTCGGGACAGTCTCAGTCAAATGATGAGTCGGTTACCTTCCATCCACTGAATCCCTGTCAGGGAGAAAGCAGCATAGTTACATGTTGGAGGTTTTGCATCCTGTGTGAGCTTCCCTAGGGGTCCCTAAGCCTCTGTAGAATTCTGAACCATCTCTAGTCTCCCCTTAGTGCTCAGCTAAGTGGGACTCTGTGGCTGGGAACCAGGAGCAAGGTGGCTGGGCCAGGCCTCTTTCATTACTGAACCTGTTCTCTAGGCTCCTGCTGCAGCCCTCTGGGGAACCCAAAGGTGCACCCTCAGTGGTGCCAACCCCCCAACTCTCCTGGAAGCTGTCTGAGGCTGCCTGGGCATATCTGGGCCTGTTTGTCAAAATCCCTCTGATCTACCCAGCTAATGAGGTCAGAGTAACTATGTCCATAAGGGATACATTTTCTCAATGGGAGCATATGCCTCAGAAAACACATTGAAAATATTTATCTTTTCTCGGAGTACAGGCAGAGTAATATAGAATACTAGCTTGTAAAAGTACTCTTTGAAAAGCAGAAGAAAAAAATATCATAAAACATAGGAAATGAAAAGGGAATCCTCCCAAATCAAGCTGCCTGCTGCTATCCGGGAGATTTGCCCCTGCCATTTGGAAAGCTTTGTTACAGGCTCAGTTGAAGCACTCATGCCTCAGAGACCCTGGGCCACTCTGGGGTTTGAGAGAGGCCATGCTGCACCTTCCTTGCAATGCAGGTTGTGAAGCCATGTTCCAACCTGTCATGGCTCTCCCCAGTCCCTCTGACCAGACATGCCCCCCAGGTCTCCTCCCCCTCTGTCCTCTCTGACACCAGAGTACTGAGCAGAGGAGGGTTTCTTAAATGTGGCCTGAGATTCTAGAGTCAGCTCCAGTGGGGTCTGTACTAAGCTGCACAGTCTGGCTGTTGGTAGAAAGTTCTGGTCCTTGTAGACCCCAAAGTGCCCTGCCTTAGATATGGTTCTTTATAGAACCCAGACCATTCAGACACATCTTCTTCTCCAATCTTTCTAGAGTAGTGGTTCTCAAAGAGGGTGGATTGGGCCCACCCTGGATGCTGGGCAATGTCTAGAGACATGATGACATCATGGCTTATCACAACTAACAGGATGGAAAAGAGCACCTAGTGTGCAGAGGTCACTAGGTGACCTCTACAAAGCTACTACTAAACACCCACCAAGGCCCAAGGCAGTCCCCAACAGCATTAGAATTAATAGGCCCAAATTTAACAGTATCAAGTTTTGAAATTCTGGTCTAGATACTTTCTTTTGCACCATAAAAGTCAACCCAGATAGAATACATTTCAACGCAATTTTTCCCAAACCGTTGTCACCTTCTAAAATCTTAATTTATGCCAATGGTTCTATTATCTCGTAGTCACTAGATTAGAAAATCACAAGCATTTTTAAATCATTTCTGCACACACAAACACACACACCATCTAATTAGTCATTAAGTCAGATGAATCTGCCCAAGGGAATAGCTTTCACTTATTTTCACTTCAACCTTTATCAAATTATTTAGAGTTTTCCTTTTCACAGCTGAATCATTGAGCAACCTCCTGATTCTCCTGTTCTCTTTATTCCAATTTGTATCAGTCAGGGTAAGATAACTACTATAACAAATAATCCTACATTATCCATAACTTTACACAGCCCATGTTTATTTCTTACCCACATTAAAGGAGGGGGAGGAGGATCTGATCCATTCAGTCATTCTGTGACCCAGGCTCTTGACCACACAAGACGCTGTCCCTCCCCTGAATTTTGAAGTTCTCTGTCAGATCTTCTGCCTCTGACTTGCAGGCAGGGAAGGAAATGGGTTGGATCTCACTTTGTGGACCAAGCCTGAAAGCAGCACACATCTCTTCCATGGACAGTTAACTGACCCAGAACTCAGTCACATCGTCTCGCCCTGTCACAAAAGACACAGGAAATATGAATTGTATGTGCAACAAGAAAAGCAAACTGGTTTTGGGGAATTGATGTCAGTCTCTACCACATATCTTCTCTCTGTCCTCCTACTGAGCTAACCTTTTCTCAAAGAACATTTAACAAGACTTTACCACATTTTTTTTTCTGTTCAAAATATTTTGAATGATTCACAATGATCTACCTAATAAATACCCAAACTGCATCAGCAATAAAAAAAATTTCCAATCAATTCTTGCCATCACATCCGTCCCTCTGCCGGGATGAACTGGTCACTGCAGCGTCTGCATCCCGTCCACACTCCCTCCATGGCTTTGCCTCTGACTTCCCTGTACTGGAATCTTTTCCTCCACCCTTATGAATATAAAGACCTATCATTCTCCACCCTTAACTCTCCAGCCTACAGTGATCTCTTATTTTCTGCACCTCAATAATAAACAGCCAGCTTACACTAAGTGCAGAAAATAGCCCAGGAACTGTAGTAAGCATGGACATGCCAATCGTTTTTGATCTGCATGATCACATTTAATCTCCCCAACAACCTATCAAGTAACTGTTTTTCTTCTTACTTTTCCTTTTAAAGAGATGGAAATTGAGGCTCACAGAGGTAAAGCAACTCATCAACATCACACAGCTGGCAAGTGAGGGGAGGAGGTCTCCATACCCATAGGCACATGATGGCCCTCAGGCTTACGGCTGCAGTGTCTTCTCCCGAACTTCCACTTACGACATCTCCTTATGGGTTACAAAAGAGGAGTAAGCAAACCTAACACAAATGAAGACAGTATTGGAAAGATGTCCCCTTATGCTGCAGTTGTGTGAAGGGAAAAAATAACCACCCTCCCTCTGGCTAGGCCCAAGCAGAAGCAGTGTGCAGGGTGAGCCAAGTTCCAGCTTTTGCATGGCAGGCCAAACCAGGAGTCAGCAGGTCCAGGCAGGGATGCTGGCAGGCAGTGGCAAGTGTGTTCCTGATAGATTATTTGGGCCAGAGACCTGGTGGGCCAAGCCACCGGGGATGCAGCCATGGGCAGGAAGGTCAGAGAAAGAGTCGCTGTGTGCTCTTAAAAGGCACATTCATGGTGAGAATGGGCTGCTGGGCATGTGGGAATGTGTGCCCAGCCTGGCACTCCAGAGCCAGAGGCGGAGGCTGGCTTTCTGGGGAGTGGCTGCCCAGGACCTGTGTAAAAAGCCATTTTCGTGCCAACAGCACTTCCAACCATGGGAGAGGGGACTTTTTTCCTAGTGCAGTGAACTTGAGGAAGTTACCTACTGCCCTTGCCTTCGGCAAAAATATGGAATTAACACACAATTTACTTCTCCAGTGAGGCTTTAATGTGAGTCAACACATGCAAGATGCTAGAGTTTGAGCAGTGACTATTGCTTCCATGTATTGCAAAATGGTAAGCCATTCATAAACAACCAGAACATGCCTTTCATTTTGGCCTAGCCATCACAGATCAAAGACATGAAAAGACAGCTCAGTCCTTCCTTTGCTACAAAGTGTCACACCTAGTGGTGACTCGGGTACCTGTTCCTGCCTTTGCTCTGCACCACACAGTGAGGAGCACCAAGTCCAAAACACCTCTAGGAGCAACATCTTCTAAACCCACCATGGCCCACGAGGGTGAGATCTCCTCAGCTTCAGAAAGCAGTTTTTGTATTTTTTTTAATTTTATTCATTTATGCATAGAACTAGGAGGGGGTGCAGACCAGAGATGTGGGGGGTGAGAGGATTCACCAGAGACAAAAACCAGCGGATTGACTGAAGTACACTGCTGAGGGGAGCAGTGGGTGAGACAGGAGAGGTCTGCTGTGCCATATGTGGGTCAGCTCCCTGGTTGGGGATGGAACTCAGGCAGCAGGAGTGATAACATTGAGACTTAACGCCTAGGCCACCAGGGAGGCCCACAGTAAATAGTTCTTAATATTGTGGACATCACAGATCTCTCAGGGAGTTTTATCAAAGCTATGAAACTACACCTACCCATACCTCCTCACACAAATTCATATGTGCACATAGAAAATATTCCTTCTCATTTGCCAGACTAGTCAGGGAATTCAGAGACTTCCTAAAGCTTAGCCCAGTTTAGTAACTAGCTTAAGGCCAATATATTAGATGCCTGGTCACGTAACTACATTTGAGAGTTTTCAAAACCAGCTACTTTAAGAATATTTTTATTTTGAGGTATACATGGACAGGGGAGATTGCGTATTATAAGGATGAGAATCACGGGCAGAGAGTTGCTCTCAGTTTTTCCCAGCCCTCACCCAGAATGGACAAGGGGATGAACCATACCTCTATGCTCACAAAACTTTGCCACTGACTCCCTCAGCAAGGTCATTCTGCTCCTCTGCCTGCATCCCCAAGAGTCATTTGGGAATCAATGTGTCTCTGCTGATGTGTCTGCCTGGTTCCATATGGCTCTTCTCACCCAACAAAAGGACAACATGGAAAGTTCTGCTAGGAAACTACTATATCCCCACACCACCACCCACTTTTAAGTCCAGGGAACTCCACCCTGCATGGACATCACCATACCCAACCACATCTTCCAGACTTTGACATTCTGCATTCCTGGGAGTAGGGGACAAACTCTTGAATGAATGCTGGAATCACAAACCCCTAAACCCTGCCTCCTCATCTGCAGAGCCCAGAAGAGAAACTACAGACACTCTCAGTGCAACCTGTGCTCCTTGCCCTAAGTAAACTGTGAAATGTGTTTGGAAACAGAAAGCTCATCTTGAACTCTGCAGCTTGCACCAGGTCTTCCCCTGGAAATGGGACACAATGCAGATAGTCCATGGTGGAGTCTGAAAATCAATTTCCTCCGCATCCACAGAAGGAAGGTTCTCCATGCCAGGACCTCAGCCCTGTGCACAGAGGGTGAAGTGGAATAGCAGCTGCTTCTTGGCCATTACTCAAGGCAGCCTGCTGGCAAGAAAGGGAGGGACGGAAGGGAACAGAGCGAGCATGCTAAAGATCCTTACTTGTTTTATACTGCTGGTGTCACCACTGAAGTTTCTTACAGCAAGACATAGGTGACAGAGTTTGAGTACCTGAGAAATTTCTAGGCATGTTATTATTTTAAAAAGATGGATGAACTAACCATCTTGGAAAACAAGTAGCTGGATTCCTTCAAGTTTTTAATGTGTATGTGCTCATGTTTACCCAGCTGTAAGGGGGTTGCAATTGTATGGGGAATATAAAAATAAAATTTAAATTAAAGAAAAAAGAATGCACAGCAGGTGCTGCACAAATCTCTGTATATCTGTGTGTGCATTTGTGTTTGCACTCACCAGTTTTTAAAGGGGTTGATGGAAGTGTCTACTTGTGTAGGTATAGTTCCAGTCATCAGAGTTAGAGGAGGTAATTTTGTACAAAGCAATAGTGCTATTCCTTAGTACTGAAACTGTCTCACCTTGTCTTTCCTATTCCTTTAATTCACCTGAAAACCCCAGAACTCCTATCCAATGGTGGAAAGAATATTGTTTTTGAAAAGAATCAGAGAATTATCTCAGCCTTACAGGTATCAGACAACTACTGCCCATGGGCCAAATTCAGCAAACCATTTTTGCCCCATAACTGCAGTGTTGAGCAGTTCCAACAGAGATAGAACTGCTCGATCTGGCCCTTAACTGTAATGTCCACCACCCCTACTACCAGCCTAACCCTTTCAGCATAGTCCAGCCTCCTGCTCTCCAGTCATTGTACTCAAGCTGAAATGGAAACAACGGGCTGGAGTCCTGTGTGCTCAAGATCAGTAGCAGAAATTCCTGGGAAGCTACTGGGAGGTTCTCTCTTCTACGGCCCATGTCTTGCGTAGAGGAGGTATCAATTCCCCCCGGCCAGTGGGAATGCCTCAGGCATGATGTTAACTTTCAGAGGAGGTGCTGAACTGAGCTAACCCTGGAACTCTGGACTAGTTACTTCGCATCTCTCAGTCTGTTGATATGAGCGATAATCGCCCAGCTTGTAGTCACGTCTTTTTAATTCCTGAAGAAGCAAGGCTCATGTCATTGCTAAGGATGTACTTTCTTGCATCAGTGCAAACAATCCTCCCTTTGCAATCTGTCCCGGGGACCCACAACTGAGCCCCACTTAGAACCCTGGAGATAATTTCTTTAGATTCACAAGGCAACTTGAAAGAACTATGCAAGATCACAGTTTTTGTCTGTGATATTTGACAGATTTCCCCAATCCCCAAATCATTCTTCTGAGCTAAGCAGTCCCAGAAAGACAATAGGAAAGTTTGGGTCTAATTGCTTCCTGCTTATGTATTAGTGGAATCAGAGGATAAACTCTTTGGGAGTGAGGAGCAGGTATATGTTGATATAGAGTGCACATTCTACTTGCAGGAAGCCAGAGTTTTCTTCTGAGTAGACCAAGATCCATAAATCAGGTTTTGCTCATCATTTTCTGAGAACCTGACACATATCATGGAATGGAACCCCTGTGTTTGGCTTTATCAAAACTAAAATGACATATGGTCAGCTTTCCTGATGGCCAACTAAACTCTAGTCCCATGACCTTGAGCTTCTTATCCTACAGATGCTAAAAACCATATCGGAGCTCAGCAATGCCTTCCCCTTCCAGCTCTATTCTGAAGTCACAATCAGCTTGCAACTTGATCTTCCTTATCTCTGACGCTAGAAATAATGGACCCAGTGTCAAGTTATGTGCCATGCTTCCTAGAGGACAGAGGGGGATCTGGGGGTGGGGTTGGGCAGTGGGAGGTGTGAGCTCATCCTCCAGTCACTCTGCTCTTACAAGAGTGATTCCTCCTGCTCCTTTGCAGAGCTGCAGCTCAGGCTACTCTGTCTGACTCTGCACACGCTGTATTTCCTAGAGACGTTTATTATGACACATAATGTGAATACAGGTGGGGACCATCCACTGTACTCTGATTTGCTATAACTGTCACTTGCAATGCTTGCTCCTCATTTATACCCCCAATGAACCTCTCCAGTATGGCACCAATACCACCATATACCCTTCCAGAAGAGAAAGATTTGCTTTCAGCTGCCTTTCTGCTTAGTTCTGATAGGAGGGTGCCTGGAAGCAGAGGCTCCAGCCCCATTATGGGTCACACTGGAGAGCAGCCAAGGAGCACAGTGGGCTTTCTCAAGGGGTGCTGCGTGCACTTGTAATGAAGGGCGGAGCTCCTGCTCAGAGTCCATGATGACCGAGGAAGAGCAGGCAACTCCCAATGCTGACATCCCCAAAACAACTGACAGGTGGAGATAAATAAGTTTGTGTATTTCCTCCCCTCTCTACCGCCCCTGTGGGAAGGAGGGGACACTCATTGCCTTTGAGAATATGAGCCAGAGGAAGGAGAAGGGAGATGGATGTATCCCAGACACACTGATCCTTCAGTGTAAAATTAAGAAAACAGAGGCTGGCAGGGAAATAGGATGAGGGAAGCACTTTTGTCAGAAAAAGGGTTTCCTGCAGCATGAAACTGTATTTACAGTAATATACCTTAAAAAGATGCACATTCTCTAATCCAATTGCATTAGGCCTTTGACAGTCTGACTTTCCAGAAGGCACTGCACTTGCTGAGGCTCAGTGTCTGAGTCATAATTGACTTCTGCATCTATGTGGGGGCCCCAACATTGGGAAAAGGGCCATTCTTGGTCATGGGGGCCTTTGAACCATCTCAAGAGGGAGTGTGTGAAGGTGTCTGAGCAGAGTTAGAAGCCTGGGTTTGGGAAAGTCAAAGGCAGCTTCATTCAGG